CTCTTTACTGTCATTTATATCTTGCTGAGGATTTTGAGCTCAAACATTTTTGAAGCGTTGGAATGAAGTATGCTTAATCTGTGGGACCAGGCTGTGATTTTTACTCTCATGAAGGTTTGATCGCTGCATCAAAGGCGATCGTCTCAGTGGCAAAACGGCAGCGCCTGCTGCTCTACCAGGAATATTTATTTTGGTGCAAAACTGTAACTTCTTAGAGGGAATGGCGTTTCAGTAAATCATCACACTGTGATTTTTTAATGATTTTAAATACCAAAGCGATAACCATTTTAATCTGTTCCACATGTACATGTAGAAGACGATGCGGTCGAGTGGTGAACACCTGGAAAACCATCTTCATCTTTATTTTTTTGTTGTTTTTGTTTTCCTATCACATCAGTATATTCTAGACACAGAGTAAAGGCCATGTATACTGTAACCTGAGCATGCTGTCTGTGGTGTATTAGCACTTTATTGGTACAGGTACTACCTTGGACACAGACATCTTCACTCATTCATGCCTCAGCCAGTAAGTCACATTGATGAAGGACAGGTTGCAAAGCGAGCAATAAGCTGAGTCACTGAGGAGAATCATTTGTTTACATGAAATGGTAAAAACAGGCATTTTTAGATCTGAATCTGTATATGTGTTCATATTTTAGGAGTACGCCTGTCGTTGGTTAGGATTTAAATTAATTTTTTTTGTATTTTCTCTGAGGGATCTTCTGATTTTTCTCTGCTTTTGATACTCACAGGGCTGCTTCACTTCCAGTTCAGCTACACACAGATAATAATGGTTATCACAGATTAGGGTGAAAGGATTTTTGTTTGTGCAAAAGGTGTTTTAGGTGAAACAGTTTTGTTGACATTTTTTTCCATGGCACTACGAAGAATTCTTTTTGCTTCTGCTCGACTGTTTCTGCAGATCTTTTGCACTGCTGTTGCATTACTTACACATTCCTTAGTATTATTTTTTTTTTTTAAATCAAATAACCACATTACGCTCTAGTCAGTAACAGAAACACTGCTGGGACTTCTGTCATAGATCTTCTGCATCATCAAATATAGTTTGATCTTGGATGGTTGAAAACATCCTTGTGCAATACAAAACAGTAGATGAGTCTTTTAATAAAGCATGTAATATTGTATATTTAACTGCTTTGTTTTGTTTTATTACCAGAAAACACATTAAATGAACAATGATCAATCAGATGTTTGTTTATTACCATATTCACATGCCATCAGGACTGCAGTCTAAATTTACTGAGATCATCAGTTGAGGTGTCCCCAAGAGACCAGACACTACTAAATAATCAGTTGTTTTTTGTGTGATTGTTTATTTAGAGGCAGTGCCATATAATTTCCCTACATGATTGGTCTTGAAACCTTTTTCAAAGAATAAAGTTCCAGTGAGAAAATTACTGAAAGCACTGAATTGTATTTGAATGTGTTAGACCCCACCCTTAGGTGGCCCTATGGGGCAAACTAAACTCCAACACTGACCCAAAATAACCACATGAAACACCTTTAAAACACTCAAACCTATGGGATTTATTAACAACAAAACAAGCAAACAAGACAAAAGTCCCAGGCTGACAGGCAGCAGGACCAGCAGTCTCTACATCAGAGGCCTCTCTCTGCTGCTGGCACAGGAGCTCTTAAGCACCTCCTCCATGCCAGGTGCACTGCACCTCGTTAAGTAATGCAGCACACCTGGGCAGATCTACAAAGGAGGGAAAAGGGACAGCAGCGCAGAACACATACAGCTCTAACAAATGATTTATGCATTTCTTCATTTTCTTTGGACTAAAATGGTCTTAAGTTAAGTGCACAACAGTGTAAAATGATAGTGTATGATGTGAAGCACACTTCATGTCACTAAATCCCAAAATTTAGAGTAAGAAAAACAGGGGACATGTTAATCATTTGACAATACTGGGGGCAAAAAGCTGATAAAGGCATTTTATAGAGCCCCTTTTCATGAAATGCATTTTGACACGCCACAGAAGGACACATAGGTGTAAGTGATTAAATTAATTGATAACTGTCATGAGGGACTCCTGCTCTGAGGAGGGATCATTATTATTATTAGTAACACCTGTGCCTTTCCTGACTCTCTTTCTAGTTTTGCTTAACAGAATTCACAGAAGAACTTAGATGAAATTTCAATCAATACATTCATTTCTGTTTCCTGGTTATATGTCAGTGTTAAAATAAAATACATTTGACATTAATTTCTATTTCCTAATACTGGAGTCACCAAACAGTCTTCTTCTTCAACAGTCATCCAGTTTTATTCGTGCGTCATGATGTTAGTCCCCATAGTACCCATTTCATTGTATTGAGACCATTTTTTAAAAACTTGACATCACTGTATAAAATGACCTGTTGTGATCTTTGAAATAATCACAGTCTCATAAATCTTCACAGCTACAAACTAGAGACCTCGGGCATTCAGTGGATGTATGGTTTCCATGGTTATGTTGATAACATGGAGATTTCTCAGCAGTTTCAAGAACAGAAGTGCTCTCCATCAAATTGCCAAAAAGTGCAGCTCTTACAGAAATCTCCAAATGTCAAAAATTTGACAAAGGTCTTGGTGTCTTAATGTAGTATTGTGGAGGGATTTTTGATGATTTTTTGAGTGGTAATAAATGCTTAAATTTTGCACCAAATCTGTGTGTCAAATGATATCAACTCAAACTTGCTGCAACAACTCATGAGACATTATTAAACATGGGGATGGCCACCATATAATTCCATCATGAGGTTCTGAGCCCCTGACCTTTAAAGTCTGAAGAGGTGCCTAGCTAAAACACAACATTTATTACATATTTATAACTAGGAAAAAACTTGACAGACTGTCCTGAGCTGCATCTCAAATTAATCTTCAGGTTCCCAGCTTTCAGATGATGTATACCACTTCCATCAGGCATATACTGTTGACCTGCTGTCCCCCTCTAAAAAAGACAACGAGTCTATGGTTGGTCTCAGTGTCAGTGACCAGAAACTTGACATGTAATTTTGTGTACATAAAACTTTGTCAGGATAAAGAACACAGTATGCTCTGAAGGCTGATAACAGCACAACACAGGCTGTTTGTATCATGATCTGATAAACTATGACTCAAAGGCTTGATATGATGAAGCTCATCTTGGTTATCAAAGTATCTTTTGTGCCCTGCTGAGATTCTTGGTGGTTGATGTCCATCCAGTGGCTGCAGCAGCTACTGCACTTCATCTTGTGTTTTCACCCCTCATTACTTTGAACTTCAGGTTTGGTTTTAATTCCTCAGTCAGGCTAAAACTCCTAAAAACTATTTCTATGTATTGTCTTTGAACATCACAGCCTGACTGTGACCCATGACCTTTATCTCACCACAGTAAACTGACCTCACTGCTCGCTCATCTATGATCCAATCCTTGAATCACCACAGATTAAATTCAACATTTGACAGGTTTTACCTGGACCACAGTTTTAGCTCATCATTCAGTTTGATGTAGCTACTTATTGTATCTTATCAGCTAAAAGCTTTAAGCACAGGAGGTAAGTCTTTTTCTGTTGCCTCTTCTCTTTCCAATGATTGCCTCTGTTATAGGAAACCAAAAATAAAGGAATAATTTCGTTTCTTGAAAGATGATTTATACAGGTACTCAAAATAACACAAGGACAGACAACTGGTCGGCCACATCTGGCAGATGTAGGCAGCCCTTTACTTAAGAGTTGCAGGTAGACTTTATTTAAGTGGTCCTAAGCCAAAGATGCTGAAAACCACTGATCTAAGGCAGTGGTTCCCAACCTTTTCCCTCAAGGAACTCCTTATCTATCATGAAGAAGACTGACAACTGACTAAGTGATGTATTATATGGATATCACATATTATATTCAGTGCATAACAGTAACAATACAGAACAGCTGATAAACTCTTAAATTAACCTGAATGGTGAACACAATAACTTCAGGAAATTTATCAAGTGATTTGGATGAATTCTCAGCAGATTATTTTCCTGTGAATACTGCACCAGAGATAGTTTTCTTATATTTTCAGAGGCTTTTTAATACTCTGTCTGTATTATGTACACTGTATAAATGTATTTTATTTTAATCAATCATACATACTTAGTAGGCTTCATTTTTGATGAATTAAGTGTTTTCTTCTCCCTGATGCTTGGCCATTGTCTCATGTGTTCTCAGGTTGTTTTAACTGTTTGAAATCTATTAACTTTTCTAATGCAAGACAAGACTGTTTAGCAGAGAGCAAAGGCTCTGTGGCCCTGACCCTTAGTGAGGGTCAGCACCCCCAGGTTGGGAACCAGTGATCTAAGGCATGGATGCTTAACATGTTCCAAAAAATACATAACACCTTACATAACATATATTCTAAATACCTAGAATTTTTTATAATTATTAACAAAAAGAACTGACCATGCCCTAAAATAGTAATTTACCAACCTGTGTAACAATACTTGGATTGTTTTGTGAGTTTGTAGCAACAGCATATAAATGTTAAATCTTGCTGCCACACCAACACTCATTTAAAACTTAAGTAAAATACATACGAGTACATGACAACTGGAACTGAAACTGTGTACACAACTCAGAAAAGAGAATATATTTTATAATCATCCATGTGAAAAGTATTTTCAATACAATATTCAAAGTCTTATTACAGTTACTCGATCTAAATCTTTAAGCCAACATCTGGATGTTCATCTTTGGTGTTCAGGGCGATGAAGATCACACTAACAAACACAAAAACGTAACTGGTTCCTCAACCTTTTTTGCACATGGGAGAATGCTAATGGATAAGAAGTCGCCTCATCCAGAAAAATATTCTATGTGGTTGAGTAATCTAGTGTTTTCTCTAACACTGGAGAAAATCCAAGTTTTCGTTGTGGGGACTCTATTGATTGATTCATACAATGTGCTCAGTGACAGCTGTTTCATCAAGAACCCAACATTCACTCATACATGATTTTCAAAGAGGACACTGAGGAAAAGACTCAAGAGTTATCCAAGTTTATTAATATTATTTTTTAAAACTAATATAAATCCCACAGAATATGATCCTGGTGCCTTTAAGTCAATGAATGCATGGATACCTGCTTTAAGTACTGCATTTCAACACTCCATTCAAAATATCTTTTTTTTTTTCTTCTTTTTTTCTAATGTTCATCAGAGTGGAAATACATGGCCTCAGTGCACTGTCATATTCACTACTACTCTCCTACCTTTTTCTCTCTTGTGCAAGTCTATGCGAGTGAGTTAGTCAACAGTATTAGTGTTTTTCTTTCTGCAGCAGCCAAAATGGACGCCGCTGCTCAACTACAGAGAGACAAAAGGGAGGGTGGATAAAATGGTTTTGAAGTGCGAGAACAAACAGTAAATATTCATCCCAAATTGAGCTGTGTATTTCCCTCTGAACACACACGTGCACGCACACACACGGGAACTTAAAGTCAACGTCACTGCCGGTGTCAAACTGACAGAAATGATCCCAGGTCGCAGGCTCATGTGAAATGTCTTACACACATGTTGACCTGAGATCATCTGACAGAAACCTTAGCCGTCACAGACCCATCTGCAGGCGCGACCCCCCATAAAATGAAGATTCATAGCAGGTCCCAACAATCGTTCAGTTTAGAAAGAACAGTCAAAGAGAGGGACGTGACATTCTTTTTCTGGTTCTCTAAAATACATCAGATGAAAGTGACAACGGTGTTTTTAGTCGAATGAAGGTGCTGGAGGGAAGTGTAACTGTAGCAAAGCATGTGCATATTCTGGGAGGTGAGGTGAACATTGGAGTTTATTTCCACTCTAGAAATACTGGGTGTGCACTAATACAGCAGCTGATCTGTTAACATATTTCCCTAGTTAGGAATGTCTGGATTTACTTAAAAAACATCTTTCACTAACAATCCACATCTTCTAAACATAAACTAATCAATACAATGATTGGTAAAAACGAATCCTGCAATGTTATTTTTTCAAAACTGGAGGGTGACATTCTATTCTAGTAAAGCAAGGCATTAGGTTTACAGAAATGCGTCTTTACTAGAGCAGCTATCCTCACCTGCGAGTTGTTAGGCCGTGTTAAAGCCCACGTTATATGTGCAAAGAAATGCATTGCAAGGAAACATGCAGAGAAACAAGAACAAAAAATGACACTTGAGGAAACAATCAAAAGCTACATAAAAGCTTTATAAATACAATAAAATCTTAAACCCTTAATGGAGAATTCTAGCTGTTGTAGTAATATGTGATAGCTGGCACTCTAGGCTCAATGCTTTTTTGTCAGGTGTTTTTTTGTTTGTTTGTTTTTCTCGTATTTTCTCGTAGTAGAGCTGCGCAGGTTGCCATCTTTGGTTGACTGCAGTACTGAAGAGAAAATTAATATGATCTCAAAATAAACTTTGAACAAAAAGGGGTTGTTAGAAAAACAGCATCAACTCTCAGCAGACAGCTGCGCCTCAATGTCCACTCTGCAGATGGGGCACTTCTTATTGGTGAGGAGCCACTGATCCACACACAGCTGATGGAAGAGGTGCATACATGGTAGGCGTCTGGAGGGGAAACAGAGGCAAAGATTAAAACCAACAATGACTTAATCCTACAGGTCTCTGTAGCCTGATACAGCTGATTCCTATGTGCCACAGAGCTCTATTTAAGACACATCAGTGAACCACATCATTACACTGCTGAAAATAGTCCCCAGTAAATACATTATTTGCCAGAGGTGGGAACAAGTCATTGTTTTAAGTCATAAGTAAGTCTCAAGTCAAGTCCCAAGTCCTAAGCTTAGAGTTTTGAGTCCTAAACAAGTCATGATGTACACTTGACCAGATGTAATGCAATGGGTACAGTGAATAATATGTTGAATACACAAAAAACATCAATACTTTTTAAAACTTGTATTTGTTTAAACAAGTCTGTTAAGACAAGTGTGACTGAGCTTAATCATAAAAAAAAATACTGATATTGTTTTTTCATTTAGCTCTATTAATCACAACGGGATTATTTTTTTTTTCAGTCTTGTCTTGTGTTTACATCATCTTATCTCTTCCCAAATTAGCAAGACATTTTCTGTGAGGCTATTCTTCCTTTAAAGTGATTTTGAATGTTGCTGCATCTTTTTTGTCTAAAGGACATGAAAAGATAAATGTTAACATAAATTTATTTGGGAAGTTAAGTGGTTTGTACCCCTTTTTAAAATCACATACTTTTTAATCTTTGGGTTTGGGGGAAGGTATCAAGTATTTACAAGTCAAAAGGCTGAAGTCATTACATTCATGACTCAAGTATGAGTCAAGTCTGAGTCATGTGACTTGCGTCCACACCTTGCTGTACCAAAAAACAAGGGATCCAGTCGTATAGTCAAAAAATGTATGACTTTTGTTTTCTCCTAAACACATTTCCTTGCCCTCTATAAAATTAATGAAAGATGTGATGGATAATTCAGGAGGGCTTGGGAAAGGACAGCCGCTTTAAATGCTGCTGCCACAAGAATTGTGGGATGGCATTATCTCCCCTCCTTTCATAAAGGATGGTCCAGTGTATCATACTGTATGTTAAAGGAGATAAGAAAGGACGCACTGAAGCCCCATTCCTCAGTATTCAGAGAATTCAAACAACTCTTTTCACCGCTGCTACTTAGATACATCTGCTTCATTTTACCTTTGTCAGCAACAAAGACTATTCGACCACAGCCGATATATTTGTGACCCAATTTTTAAGATTTTCATCTTTATTAGGAACAAATGGGCTTGGGGCTGTGTTTCAGTTAAACTGAAAGTACCGAGAAACAGTCTAACACATTTTGGGTTTGGTCTTTTTATGAGATTTGCAGTCAATAAAAGATAAAATACTCCCAATCTTATCCTATAAAAATGTCCTGGGAGAGCCTTCAAACATTTGAGTTATTTGTACAAAACATAAATAAGCAGGTTTATTCTTCAGAGACGGCTGCACTTTGACAAAGCTACTGAGTCAAGCACTCCTTTCACAGCCTGTCCCACAACTTTGTCCTGTTTTTTGCACTTTTATTTAGTAGAAATGGTAACACTAGTGAAGAGATACTGTACTAGCTAGCTAAGTTTAAAGGTACATTATGCAGGATTGTCAGTTACTGTTTGTAAACACACTCCCCAGCAAAAGTTAAAAGTAAAAGCCAATCCCAGATTCACTCTCACTTTTTTTTTTTTTTTTTTTGCCTCATTATATTTGTATTTATTCTGTGTTGTGTCTCTTGGATGTCTGCTGCTTTAGTCTGGCACCTGCATTATGGGGTTTTCACACCCATAAACATCCCTGAACACAGTAAATACGAAAATAAGAAAATGCAGACAGAGGTCGGAGTCTCTGCAGAGAAACACATCACCACACACTTCTAGTCTAAATGATGATGGAGAGGGATTACTTCTGTATGAGGCTATACATTGTTTTTTTAGGAAATTCCTGCACAGTATATCTTTAACATTAATAATTTATATTAGAGGTGTGAGGAACATCTGGTTATCAGAGATGTATAAAACCTTCTTTTTTTGCTGACAGAGGATTAATAAACCAGCAAAGTATTTTTACCTGAATATGACCATTTAAGAAAAAAGTCCTATAATGTGTTATAGTTTGGAAATATATAATCAAAATTATTCAGAAGCTAAAAGTGGAGACTGTAAATAATTTAGAAAAAAATAAAATCCCTCCATTTGTTAAAAAAAATAAATAAATAAAAATAAAAATATTTTTTTAAAAGAGTGTAAAAACGTGAAACTCATCACTTTTTTTTTTTACACCAACAGAGGGCAGAAAATCCTCTTTTAAAAAAAACCTGAGTGAGTGCCAAAAAGCAGCTCCATGAGGCCGGTAATTTTGAGGCACTCTGGGGTTTTCTGTTGATTACTATACCTTTGGGTCTAAAAAATGTACATCTCGAGAGACGGTGGCAAAATGGAACAACTACACCTGCCATCCCACATGTCACGCCCCTGAAAGCATAATTGAACACACTTAAAACTGTGAACAGCGAACGGCACAAACACCCAGGAGGGGATCCTTTTACCTGACGTCCTCCCCCTCCTCCAGTATTGACAGACAGATGGTGCATTTTTCTTCTGTGTCTTCATCTGCCCCCTCGTCTTCATCTTGCTTACCATGCAGCTTTCTCTGTTTGTGAGAAACATTTAGAAACGTAACTTTTGATATGCAGCGTCGATCAGTGGAGCTGCCTCAGCAGACTCACTACATATGGTTAATAGTCCTAATATTCCACTGCTCAACTTAAACACTGTGGTAACATTACATATTACATTGGTATAAAAATATAATATAGTCTATAAAGAGGTAACTATGTTTATAACAAACACTTCAACAAAAAACATTAAATTCCTTTGGGGACAGAGAGAATGGTCATTTTGTCCTGAAAATAGAAAACACTTTCTATCTATTGTCTCTAAGCTAAACATATCAAAATTATCCAAATCAATGTTATTCTAGAGCCGAATTCCCTGGCCCCCAAGACTAATACTAACATCTACTGTACATGTGAGCAGAGACATGTTTCCAAATTGATTTGTTTATTATTTCTCACCGATTCTGGGGTTGCGTGCATATTTTTCCCAATAGATGCCCAAGCTTCAGGGGTTAACTCTTGGTCAATGTCTCTCTCCAACACCTTCTGTATTGGGTGGCAGGGTGTTAGATTGCTTGTTTAGATACATTTGGAAACCGCTAAGGAAACTTTTCCTCAACATTGTCTTCACAGCTGCATTCTACAACACACTACAGTATTTTGCTAAAACATCAGACGTTTGAAATGAGCACAAAAGACCACTGCGCACTCTGTCCCAGAGTAAACTGTAACAGACATGCACAACTACACACAGTATCTGCAAAATGCAATGAACAATATATACATAATTACACACACTCTCATAGGTCCTCACCTTTTTGTACTTGTGTGGGTAAGTGCACCTCTCTATGGTTCCCTGAGAGGCTCCTCGGTTCACAGTCCCCAATCTTTCCTCTAAATGCAGCAGGTCCTGAATGGATGCAGAATAAACAAACCACGAAGAAAAGTGATGAACAAACGCACACATTGGTTTTTGTAACTGCTCAATTTTCTCTTACAGAGCACACAACTGCAGCAAACCTGGCCGTCTTTGTTGTTGTTTTTTAAGCTCTTTTTTCTGTCTAAAGCTTGGCTTTTCATTTAATAATCTTAGCGTCAGATTTAGTGGTTAAACCAGGTGACGCAGTGAGTAAAACTTGCTAATAAAGAAGCATGCATTCACAATAGCTGAGACCATGTATGTGTACATGTTGCCCCTTTTAGACAATTAGCATTAACAGTTCTTCAGCTGTCCTTTGGTTCAAGACCATTTCCGCAAAATCTAGCATAAGTCTGTGAATCCATTTGGAAGTGATATGTTTTTTGCATTAGGCTACTCATTTTGCCACTACGCTTGGGTAGCATCTACTTTTTCATACCTTTATACCTTATCGTCACATTTCACTGGGGTATACGGTATGTGATGGTATTCGTGTAAAAATAAACAAAGAAACGGAAAAAAGTAAAGGCTAAACTGCTGGTGGATAGACGCATGTGTGTAATTATCTTGTAATAACCTATAATGCTGTATTTCTAATATTAAACATAGTCTACTTAGTCAATTCTCGCAAGGTTTAAATAGTTATGGCCCATAGAATAATCAATAGACAGGAAATATGCACCCCTCTTCCATAGATCCTTGCTCGAGGACCTACTTGAAGGTACCTGTTGCTGTGGTGGATACAGACACATCAGTGGGCTGAACGGAGATCATGTGCGGATGGTGGTGGAGGACTTACAGCTGAATAAAATCATGTGGCTAAATAGTGCACACAGCTTTGTCTGTGTTGGCTCGCTCATCTTCATCATTAGGACTAAATCCAAAATACTCCCAAACAGGGGCAGATGTATTTTTCTTTTTCACTAGTCCTGTAATGTTATCTCTAACACTCACCGTTGCCCTCTTTCTTAGCTAAGCTGCCTGTTCCACCAGTAGAGACTGGCCTCTGGTGGGGGATGCTGTGTACTACAACAGCTCAATACAGCATCTCTGTATCAGTTTAATATAGAGAGGAGCATCTGTATTTTTTACAGTACTGAAAATCATACCTTCGGGATTTTTTAAATACAGTGCTGGTCGCAGCTAAAACAAAGTTTGGAGTTCAGTGTCTTGCTCAAGAAAACATTCAACATGGATATCAAACTGCCAACATTATGATCAATGGCCGATCTGCTCTGCCAACTGAGGAACACCTGCCTCGAGTGAAACAACACATTAAAATGAGCAACCTCCATCCACTGACGACACTCTGGAAAAAAGCTAGTAGGTGGACCTTGAGTCAAGATTGTTTTTTTGTGAAGACATTAAATTTTTTCTTTGTGCGCTCTTCTCCACTACAGTATTACATTCTGCTTTCCCTGTGACAGCTACGCACTGTGTATTTGTGTATTCTGAATACAAATTAACTCCAGTGTGTAAACTATTATAATGCGCCCTCATTAAAACAGTATGAAAATAGTGATCAGTCATGCATTGATGAGTTAAGCAATTATAACTTTAATATTGATGATGGCAGTGATGAATGAAACAGTAATACATTTATGCTTTTAATTGCCAGAGTTGTGCTGGGACTGATGAAAAAACAAATCTAGCATAGCTATAAAACAAAAACAGTCCTCACCTCATAGGTTCTTCCAAAGCCAGTCATTCTAGATGAGATGTACCGAATGTGCGGGTAGGTCACTTCAGATATGCCAGTGTGCTGTGAGGGACAAAAGAAAACACATGCACAACACATTTTGTTTAACTTTGGGAAAACATTTCAGCATGTCTGTCTCATAACGAATGCACTTAATCTTTCTGGATCAAAGGGCTTCTTAACCCTTTTTTCATTTCATAATTCCACAGACCTTATTTTATTTGACAGGGTCTTAAGCTACTGGTGAGTGTTCAATATAATACATGCTATTAGGGCCTGAGTAATTTGACTTTAAGCCATGCCATGTTACTGTATTTGTACATGTATTTCAGTAGCATTTTCTCAGAGAATAATATTAAACCTGCAATAAAAAAAAGTCTGCTTGGGTTCATAACTTTAAGTTGATATAGCTAGTGTTAGCAAACAGTTGCTTATTTACACATCCAGCAGTTATGGGGCAACTTAAGCAATTATTTGGTGTCGTGTTTGTGGCCACCTGATGAATTTACTCTAAGGGTAATATTCTCCTTGAGACTCCTCTAAGGGAAATATCTGTCTCTTCAGCTGGTAAATGCTCTACTATGTTCACCAGCTAGCTCTGCGTCTGTCTGCAGTGTAGTTTTGTCATGTGCATTTATTTGACAAAATGTGTACCCACACCTGGCTAGTAAAACAGACTCTGCTTTTGTTTGAAGCTTGGGTTTGAAAACAGCAGGATGACTATCGTAAATGTTAACAATAAGAGAGAGCGAGACACCACAGCTCGTACTGGTGTATCAATACTGTGAAAAATGAGTATCAAAACCATTTCAAACGTTCAAAATCAACATGTATTGGTAACTTGATATTTCTAACAATACTATAAAAGCACCGAAAGTGAGTTGAAACAGTTAACTTGTGAGACGGACGGCTAAAAAACCTCACTATAAAGCTCTGTAAAGGTGAGGGGAGCTGCAGATTTGAAAGCTAACTCTTTGTAGGTCTGTCATAACAAACGACCACTTTTACATTATCACTTGATTCGTTGTTATTATAGAAATATAAATCATGGCCACTCTTAGTTAAACTACACCTGATGTAAGATCTAAGTGATAATGGCAGCTCTAAAATTAAAGTTGAGTTTTAACAAGATAATTTATTTCAAAACAAATTAGAGGGGCCTCCAAATGTGTTCACATGGCAAATATGTAATGATGAAGGTCCTAGATGTATACAGATTAGAACTAATGAACTCTGCCAAGACTCTTCATCAAAATTCACTTGCCTAACCACTGGTTCTACTTCTCTACCCCCTAATTCTGAGCATGCACGCTGTGATGAACTGTGGATGTGCTCTAAGCATTTGTAAAACAGCAGCCTGACTTTATGTGCACTCACATCAATGCTACAGAGGAGAACTGATTGTAGAAGACAACTAATGTTCAAATGTTTGAGGGTGACCAAGTAAAAAAAGAAAAGAAGCAATAACATCAGGAAACTGTCGACTACATTTGCACAGGATCTGTCTTGAGGCTTGTGGATTTGTTGAGTGTGCACTTGAAATGCCCGATGAGCTACTATTAATTGCTAATGCATTATTCATGTGGTTCACCAAACCATCCTTGAAATAACTGATGTTATAAATAAGGGGCCAGCACCATTAATCTAAGCCAGACTTCATATAAAAGTGATTCTTTCTCATTTATGCTAATGTATGCATGTGTGCTGAGGGTTTCTCTCACCATGAAGGGGATGGGGAAGTGGTGCAGTCTGGGGGGAGGGTGGTAGTGGGGCAGGTGGGAGTGCAGGTGCCCTGAAGGGTACGGTGCCACAGTCACTCCAGCCTCGATGCCAAGCTCCCTGATGACAAACACATAATAAGAGATCAGTTGTCATTTCATCAAAACTTTCTGTAGTCTGTCTGAAGATAACACCAAGGGATCATAGATGCACATTTAAAATGTGTAATGTTTGATTAGCTGATATGAAACTGAAACCAGCCATCAGACAAACCTTATAGCCTCTGATACTGACCATGCTGTTCTCTGCTCAGGCTGGCGAGGGTGGGAAGACATAGTTTGTGGCACATGGATGTGGTGACCATGGCCGTAGTTGGGGTGCATTCTGTGAGGGTGTGGAGGCGGACGCTCATGTGCTCGTCTGCAAAGAAAGGAAAATACAGGTTTACAGCTGGAGTTTTATCTTTTACACGAATATGAACACTAAGAATGTGGGCGATGATGGTACTCACGTTGGGTGCTGCATCATCCTGCGCCTCTGAACCTCCATCCTCTGCAGCATCTCATGTTGATGGATCCTCTGCACCGAGGCCCCCAGCGCCGGCATATGGTGTGGCAGGGCCTGGTGGTCTGTAGGCAGGTGCTGGGCCAGCGGGGCACTTGAACTAGAAAGGTGGTGGGTAGACAGAGGTGGGGGAGGGGCAGGGGGCACGGCGTGGCCTGAAGGGTGGGATGGCAGTGGCGGATGAAAGGTGACAGTGTGGGGAATGACATAATCGCCTTGTGGAGGGGGCTGAGGTGTAAGCTGGGGGTTCCCATGGGAATGAGGGCAGGCGGAGGAGGGCTGATGATGCAGTGAGCGTGCTAGAGAGCCATCTGGGTTTGAGGGAAAGAGAGAAGGAAAGAAATAAGTAAAACATCTTTAAACATTAAAGGATAAGATACTGTATACTTTTTTCTTGTTAACAAATCTCATGGACAGACCAAATTGAACAGTGCATGAGTTAAATAATTTCCCAACTTTTACAGCTGGTTTGTGGCACTCAGCCCTAAGTCCAGTCATTATTACTGAAGGGGACATTTTAAAAAAAAATGGTCACAAATAATACTTTTACTGGACAACAATGGGGCACTACAGCACTGAGGATTAAGCTACATCAGGCTTTGGCTACACAGGAAATACTTGCTATTAAGGGTGCTTCAGTCTGTAATGCAAGTGTCTATATATAGTATAGTACATATATATATAGTATATACAGTGTGTGCATTTGTGTGCATTTGTGTGTGTGTGTATGTATGTGTGTGTCAGTCGATGTTATGAGTGTCGGTTATATGCAGGGGGATCCAAACATGACATTGTAGCAAGAAGCCTAATAATTCAACCTGCGTTTTTCATCAGATAATGGTGAGTTAAAACCTTATGTGAAATAAGTTTTACAAAAAAGACAAATTGTTTTTGTGTAAACTAGACTGACATTAGTGTTCAATATTAGAAAAAAACCCTAGTAAATTAACAGTTTTCATTGACTAAACTAGACTAAAATAATTAAGGTAATTTGTGCCAATGATATAACTAAAATGTTGAATTTTCCTCAACTAAAACTTGACAAAACAAACAGAATAACAAACAGGGTGAATTTGTCTATTATGATAAAAACCAATAAGAATATTTGACGGAGGACTTAGACTATAAAAAAAAGAATAACATTAGTTACATTAGTATAATTTTATTGTTCTACTTAAGTGTGTTGTGTACATTTAGCTTTTACTAACTTATATTTGTTTAAAAATATTTTATTGTATTGCACAGAAAAGCTAGATTAGTCTCTAAAAGACAAGGATTGGAACATGTTGCATATGTTGCCTGTCAATAAACTAACAGTTGTCAATTCATGATACTTTCTCATACTTTCTCAAGGTAGTACTTAATATACATTGTTGTTCAAAATAGTTAAATAAATAAATAATGCTCAACGCCCACTGAATCTATTTGTTTTTGATGTTGGTCATTTTATGGAATTTGTTATTAATGAAAAATTTCACCAGACTTATCCTTTGAGGAAATCACAAAAACCCGACAGCCATTGAAAGTCTGACCAAAACCACTGAGCCCTGCAGTGTAATGCGGTGCACTGCACGGTGGTGCTTATGTGTAGGAATACAGAAGTTCTACAGATGAGAAAATGTTGTGCCACAGGAAAGAGGCTATCTCATGTCAAGGTAAAGCAGTGCACATATTCTCAATACAGGGTCCACTTAAACTGATACTGATTTTTTAGGCAGCTAAAATACATTTTGCTGCTCCTGTCCACAGCAGTGCATTGCTGAACTTCTGTGTTGGCACTGCTGTCTGCTTCTCCAAACCAGGAGTGCACCGATTGACATCTACTGTAGGTCAAGTACCTCACATAACCCACTTCAAAAAATCCAAACCATCCCTTTAAAGATGATGGCTCTGTAGCTTTGTTGTTATTGTTGAAACCTTCTCTGTTCTCTGGCAAAGACAAAAAGATCAGTTCACCACTGTGAGTCATCCACTTGATAAATATTAATTTATTCTTTTGTTTTCCGCTCTTCTTGGTGTAGACTTCCTTGCCACTTGTCCAAGCAGCAGTACAATGAGGAGGAAAGGCAGGCAAGAGGGAGAGAGAGAGGTGAGCGTGGGCACCAGCAGCAACTAACTCTCTTACTACATCCCCACCAGACAGCCTTGTCACAGCGCTTCACTCTCCATACTGAGCTATTCCAAGTAAAATGAGCAATTAACTACTTCTGGTACAGTTCCCACAGCACTTGGCACATTAACCACCAGGCTCTGTTAATTACTATTAGCATTAGGTTTGAGAAGTGTGGCTGGCTGCCAGTTTTCACAAGTGATATGGCACTGCAAATGAGTGAATTTTCCAAATGCAGTAGCTGAAACTTGAAAGTGCAACTGAAAATAAATTGAATTTTTTTTGCCTCACATGTCTGCTCTGTAAACCACTTTCCTCTGTTCTCCTTTGAGGAAAAAAATCAGAAACCAAAATGGACAAATTTATATTTTCTTACTTCAGGATGGCACTCTTCTAGTTATGCATAAATTCTACAGAATTTGGTTCTTCTTGTGTACATAGATGGAGACGTTATTTCAATACAGCCAGTCAAATGTTTTGTAAAGCAGTTATGTCAGCACTCTATCACAGGCAGAGCAGATGGTTACACTGAACCAGACACTGCTTAGTAACACTGACACATTTAAAAAAAAACATGTTGACATTATTTTTGACTACAACAAGAGATGACTAAATGGGATTTTAAAATTCACATTTGAAAAAACAGTGGTGAACGTCTGATTTCCTGCACTGCACGAAGGCGCTGTACTCACAGGAGGGGTGCATGTAATGTCTGCAGGGCTGGGGTTGTGTTTGTGGCTGGGGCTGAGCCACCATGGAGGAGCTGAATGAATCCACCACAGCTGGCTGGCTGGGCCCAGGGGTGGCCTGGGAAACGTAAGCAGGCGGCCGTGAGGTGGAGCCTGGGCAGCACGGGTCAAAGGCCGAGGTGCTGCCATGGAAACTAGCCCCGTTGTTTCCACCGCTCCGAACACTGCTGTTGCTCAGGTCCACTGGCAGAGTTTGCTGTGGAAGGAAGGCGAAGATTTATAGAAAGAGGAGGGCCAAATTTCTCCTGTGGAATGCTAAATGAGTCATACAAAATTCAGGTCATATACCACGTATTCTAAAATTGTATATTTTCACTGGTGCATTTTCCTTTTTGAGTAGAAAAATATGTATAGAGGGAAACTTAGTGTGTTCTGCCTACTTTAGTCTCAAGCTAAATGCTGTTTTGGAGATAGAGCGTGCGTGCTGATTAGTGACAAGTGCTGGACTATAACCTTTACTAACTGACAGGGAGGACGGTGGGATGATGCATAGTGAAGCTTTGACATAGCAATGGAGGAAGTTAGCATAGTATGACATCACAGCAAGACTATTTTAAACGCTTTAACACTTAAAACTTAATCCTATCTCCTCACACATATAACAAATATATTTAGGTACTACAGGTCATACATTAATTTGTGTTATGTGCTGCTGATAGTGTACTGTTAATGAATGCATCATTATCATACCTGGTCGTGGTAGTGGGCTGTATTGTTGCTACTACTACTGTTGCTGCTGCTGCTGACTCCAGCACAGGATGCAGGCAGAGCACTGGGTCGCTCCACAGGGCAGCTCGGCTCTTGAAAGGGCAGGGTGCCCGGTGGCTGTGGTGCTGGGTGATGGACATGGTGGACGAAGTGGTGAGCATTGCTGTGGCTATGACCGTGGCTGTGCTGGGAGCCACTGGTCTGCTGAGAGGATGACGCCTGCAAGCAGCTTGAATGAGAGTGGCTCAGGGACAGGTGACCAGGGGAGGGCCCTCCACACGGGGAGTGCTGCTGACAGCAAGATGGGAGTCTGGGCATGGCTGCGCCTGCGTTTTCTCCTGCTGTACCTGACAAGCCTGGTCTGCTGTCATCTGATGGGAATAAGGGATATGGTTAGAAAGGTATAGGATCAGACAGCTGGTTAGTGTTTTCAAGGGCAAAAAAGAACACAATATATACTATTTCACACTTTAATTCATAAGCATTATACGTAATACCAGCAGCTGAAATGGAGTTATTTTGGACCTAAGGGGCCCCAGAGCAAAAGTGTCAAAATGAAATGGTTCACAACAGCTGGTTTCAACATACCATGTCCTGTCTTACCCTCTGTGGCTGTGCGCGTAGAGCCACTTGGCCTCTGTGTGTGCATACTTTCAGGTATTGAGCCTGGGCAGCTAGTGGAAGGGCCTGGGGCATCATTGAGCTCTGAGGTAGAGGCATGATGGGAAGATGATGAAGACGACGACCTGACTGTTTGAGGGTGAATGCTGCCAGAGGTTGTTGGCACAACTGAGAGATCTGTGGAGGAAAAAAAAGGCAGGGGATAATTAAGAAAAGGAGGATAAGTGACACTTATGCTCAGAGAGAGAACTAAAGGTGTTGCTTCACCAGTCTATGCATTCAAAGAGGAGAGAGAAAAGAGCACACGGTTCCTTGACAAAACAATAGTTCTTGAGTTACTGACAGAAAAAACAGTGACTGATCCTAAATAAAATTTACTTGTAAATATTTCATAATAAAATCTAATCTCACTACAAGGGGAGGGGTCTTTATCTGGGGTCTAGTTGGATTTCCATCCAAATAAAGTGCAAATTTGAACTGAATTTTCAGAAATCAGTAAAAGAAAATGCAACGTGCTTTTCAATCCGCTACTGAGAAGTGAATACTTGGTGTTGGTAGATTGAGATAAGTGATGGGTGGCGCTGATTCTCCAGTCTGGTTCCACTAATGTGTTTCCATTGCAATTAGTTGCATTCAATTTTATTGATACACCAAAACAACTTTTTCTGTCTGTAGCGTTTAAACTTTTCTGCAGCACTTCAATATGCTTGCGTTTTTGATATGCAAATTGAGGTGGATGGAAGCCCACCTTGTGTGAGTTTTGTTCACCAAATCATCCCACTATTAATAAAATTTCTCTTATGCAACATCAGTTTTCAAATAAATTGACAAGAATAGTTATGAGTTTAATATGACAACATGTAGACAACCTAAAATCCAACTTGACACTTTGTCTGGAAAAAATAACCCTAGTGTGGACTGCAGCATGTGTGTACTTGTCTGCAGAGGCTTAGAAGCCGAGGAGAAGAGCAGACCTTATTAGCATTCCACTGTGTGCACTTCATCTGCTTTTCAGATTCAGAAATTAATTTCCCTTCTTTTCCCTAAGAAATACAAATACTCTAATACTTTGGCTCTCCATAATTTTACTATCCGTCATGGGTGTGAGCTCATAAAGAGAGTCACACAAATGCCTATGGTTACAGAGCAGCGCCCTTTTACAGAAAATATAGTAAAAGAGGGTTAATGTTGATGGTTAATGTAGGACAACAAAATCGATTCTAACTGCTGAGTGGTTAATTGTTGCACATTTAGGTTAATATGAAAGGCATAATAACAACCCTGGTAGTTTAGGATCTAAAATATTTGGATCTTAAATATCACTGGCACATTTGTGAAACTCTATTCTATGATCACTCTGTCTCAGACAAATGTTTAGTCACTGAATACATTTTATTCTTGTAGTAAACAGTTAGGATTAGGAGCATATTAATAACCTCCGCCAAGGAGGTTATGTTGTCGTCGTCCGTTTGTCTGCAAAATAACTCGAAAAGTTCTGAAAGGATTTTGAAATTTTCAGGAAAGGTTGATGATGGGACAAGGAACAGATGATAAAATTTTGGTGGTGATCGGTTGAAGCAAAGTGGATAAAATAATAAAATGGCGGGAAATCCGAGCTGCTTGGCGGAGGTCTATGCTCTCTGAGTGCTCTAGTTACTCCTTGAGTCATCTGTAAAGTGCCTATCTTATATCTAAATGAAGATTAATGAGAAGCTCTGCAGCATCTTAAAAATGTATCTACTACACACCCAGGGTGATACGGCCAAACACATAGCTCCATGTCAACCTATTATATTACAACATATTATTTCTCCACCTTGTCATGAATTTGACTGTAAAAATTCAAAGCTAATATCACAGATCACTTTAAGTTATAAAAGAATAATGTCTATGGCCTTCACATATATGAAGCAAAAGATGTAGCAATATATCAAGGCATCACTGCCGACACACGGCAGATAACTTGAAAGGGGAGATGTCTCGTGAATCTATGCGTAGTGATCCTTTAAACCAGGGGTCTCCAATGTTTTCAGGCTAAGGACCCCTTATTTGAAAGACATGAAGCAGTGATGCCCTACTGCATATCTTGTCTAAAACTGACTTGCATTTAAGACAATTATCTGAATATTTTTAGGTCTTCTCTCATTTACTCTTCTCTGTAGCTGCTAAGTCAGCATCAGCTGTAGCATGGCTAGGTGCGTTAGCTCGATTCATTTCAATATGTATTTTCAGACACAATTTGATTTTAAAAAAACCTTATATTATCAAGCAGTAATTTGGCAGCCCCCTGCAGTAACTCTGAGGACCCCTAGGGTTCACAAGCCCCTTTTTGATGACCCAGGTTTTAAATGGACAAAGTTAAAATGTACTTGGACAAAAGACATTTCCCTTGTTCTTACCATCTTCATCGACAGTGAGGTCCACCACCTCCCCAGCATTCTGACGCAGTGGTTGGATGACGGTGGAGAGTCTGTGACGTCCACGTGACTCCTGGAGACGATTCTGGGCGCAACTATTACCCCAAATCCTGCCAATACCCCCTACTGAGCGTGACCTGTAGACACACAAACATAAAAAAAAAACCTATTACAGCCAACAGCAGTAGAGGATCACTTATCTGACCAGGTGTATTCTCACAGCTCCCAGTGAAGCATTTGCTTTGCCAGAGCCAGACTCTCAGGCTCATTTCCAGGCCAGAGGCTTTTTTGACAAAAGCCTGCTGGGGCAAAGGTAAGCGAGGACATGACAGTGGACAAATCTGACAGAAGCTATTAGATCTGGTCTTACTACCTGATGAGTACAGTAGTTCTTACTGCAGTCTTTTAACCAACTGAGAACTGACCTTTCTTCATGACAGACATCTTGACATGTTACAGCAAGAAAAGCACCGGTGTATGTACGGACATGAACAATGTCTCTGGCCTGTTTGGGTGTGTGTTATATGTGTTACATCTTTGGTACATCTGTGTTTGACAAGACTCAATGACCACAGTAATGAAATGTTACAGTGCTTGATTTAGTGCAGCAGAGCACTCTGAGTACCAAGTGTCAATATTACACCTGATGCAGTTTATTTCATTTTGGGAGCTAACAGGGGGATCGATCCTTACATGATTACTTATAAAGCCCTTGTTCAGTGTACACAATTGTATTTGTAGCAAGACAACAGGCACAAACCAAGGAATCCATAACAAGAAACTCTTGTATTTTACTAACTTGATGGATGGTTTGTTACAAAGAACCATCTGAGAGGCTGTCATTGAAAACTATTTGAAAAAGGGCAGGCACTTTCAAAAAATACTCGGCAGGTGACTGGATGAACTATCTGTCTTTTCCCCCCACAGACTAACATTGGGAAAGAGACATCTTAAAATCAGTGGATACATTTTTTGAGCGTAACAGCCCCTGCAAAATGACTCATTTCACTATCCGGATTTGTTCATTTCATTTTGCAAGTCTATCCCCATTCAAGTTGGCAGAGAGCTAAACTGGAAGTTAGCTGCTCAGCTAGCAGAAGTCTCTAGCGTGCTTGCTCTATGGTACCAACAATGCGGAAGATCCGATTAATTTAATAACCTGGAAGTCAAACATTTTTTGGCTTCATACTCCACTGAGCAACTTTTATAGTAATGAACAGGTAATGGGGCTCCGCCTCCAATGTTGTATCCAGTTCGTTTTTACATCCATTGTTGTCGCACACACCTAAACCACGCCTGTAGCTGCCAGTAGCTCCTCACAGGATGTTGAGTGACACAAACACATTACTTGAAGCCTGACAAAATAGATTTTTTTAGATTATTTTTGGGGGTTTTTGCCTTTAATGACAATACAGTTTTGATGCAGGATGAGACAGGATGCTGCCTTTGTACATGGTATGCCCGCCCTCCCTACTGAGCTGCTGGAAGCTCCGACAAGATGGATTTATATGTGATACCATGCGAATCCAGCTGCCATATAGTATTTCTAAATTTAAAACAGGACATATATACAATTTTAGCTCAAAAAAGAGTGCCAGTGAAGACTTACGATAGGTTTAGATGAACACAACACATACACCCGAAACTGAAGTGGGTGCTTTGTGGATCACAATGCATCATGTAACAAAACTGTTTGTGGTCTGTGGTCCAAAATGATTTTTCTGTTGAGTATCAAATCACTCTGGCAGGACTATGTGCCTATGCTGTATGGACGATGCCATCATGGAGCTCTGCATCTACAACAACCATCTAAATCTTCCCATTTATTCCACCCACCTTCCTTTTTCCTATATCTCGCTCGAATGCTCTGCACCTCTCTGCCCTGTTATTGGCCGTTCCTCTTTCCTTCCTTTTAATTTTCTCTCTCAAAGGCTCCTGTCGCTCTACCCCTTGCTCTCTGAGACTGGAGTGAGAGGCAAGGGAATAGCCGCATTTCCCCCCACAGTGCTGTAAAGCCAGGTGATCAGAGGGAGGAGGGATAAGCTCGAGGGACAAGAGACTAGAGACTATATGGGAGTGCCGTAAAGCCTGATACCATGGAGCTTTGTGGCTGGGGGATTTCACTGCTGTTCCCTTAGAGTGTTTAAAAAAATGCACAGGAGCAGAGGGACAAGGCTGTGCACTGAGTGCCAAAAGCTCTGCACTGTAAACCACAACTGCATCGTAACTAAGGAGCTTTAGGTGTGTCAACCTGAACCATGGACTAGCTCTGTGACTCTTATTGATTAAATAATAAAACCATAAGGCCTAGTTGACACAGACAAGGCTATTTTTGTAAACAGGGTTTTCCCCTCCTTTGATCTAAAATAAAATCCCTGTCCACAGACTATTATAAAAAAAATCTTTGTCCAAATGAAAATGCAAAAACAAATTTGAAGTGCTGTAAATAGTATGCCAAACCCACAGGCAGCAATATAACTGTAACACTAAAGCCACACAAAAAGAAAGAAGATGATGTTGGCCAAACACAGGCCTGATAAAAAAGCAACCAGTGGCCTCAGTATAAGGGTGTTACAGTTCACAAAATTCACAGTTTGGTTTGATAGGATACAGGGGTGTCATGGCTCAGTATGTTTTCGATACAGCAAAAAAGTAAAAATGCCTGAGAAATAGCCATGGTTTTTATTTTTTTTTATTTTATGTTATTTTAATTCATTTATTAATTTAAACTAACATAAAGTATGATCTCTTTTTTACTTTGAACAGTGATGGAGCTATACCTGAGCACCCCTTTACTACTGACATTAGGGTGCACAGTATCAATGTTGTTTCTTTCGCCCACTGAATGTCAGTGGTGAATTTGCTACGTCCCACAAGCTCTCCTAGCGCTTTCAGTCTAATACATACATGAATAAACATCTGTGTTAAATCCCAGAATCACTTATACACACAAGCTAAACAGCTATCACTAACGTAGTCTTTCTGACCAAATCTGCTACCCGAACCACCGGCAGTTGCTGTTCATTGCTGTCGATGTGTGCTTTGTGCTAACATTAGCTGTTGACCCAGAGGCTGCCACCGCACAGTGGCTCTCGTCCCCTGGTTTGAAGGATGTGGTCATTATTTGGCTTGGTGTGCACAGTTGTTCTTTACCCACCACTTCCTTGCCATTGCCATCATATTTCACAGTGAAACCAAAGTGGCTCAGTACACCAGATCTGTAGGCTATTGGAGTATGTTATATTTCTGGTCTGGTGTTCTGGCGTTACTGACCATCTTGCAATGTGCTAGCTTAGCATAGCATGCATCCCGGTGTGGTCTCTCTTTTGCTGTCTACATGTTGACGCTGAAAACTGAGTTTCTGAAAATCTTTACCCTGGATCGAGTTTTACAAATGATTTGCTTTTGGTCAGTTTCCATGTGGATGAAAGTCCCATATGTATTAAAAAGCTACATGTACAAATATACTTTTGTCTGTGTGGACTGGGCCTGTGAAAGTATCAAGTGATTCAATAAATCTTTATCGGAGTGATTTTTTCTTCCTGTTTTAGCCCGAGTTTCCCGCAGACCAAAGACAGATAGGTTATGTGAACTGGAAACCTTAAACTGGCTCATATGTAACATAATGTGTCTCTTTGTCGTAGCCTTTGTGTTGCCCTGACCTTCCCCCAATAGATACAGGCTCCATATCACTGTCAACAGGAAAAACTGGGTACAAGGAATAGACGGGTGGGAATTATGTACTTGATATATTTTGCAATAAAATAACCAATTTAATTCATTTTTTTTGTCCTGCCTCTAAGAAGTTATTAACAAAGAAATATATGTTGTTTTTTTTTATGATTTTGTGTTTCAAAGGTATTTTAATGACATAAATAACTGGAATGATGGAACAAAAAATATTTAGTATCTTAAGAGTTAAATGATTAAATGTGAATACATGAGTCCAAAGACTTTAAGATTATACTGGGTAAAACATCATAAACAATATTATGTAATGCTATGAACTGGTTAAATTATTGATATTGTCCTCTTTATGCTGAAAGACGTTGGCTTTGATCACATTCCTCAGACGTGTTTTAACGTAGGAAATGCCTTTTCACTGCTGTTTGTGATAAGGGGGATTCCCATCAGCTCATACTGTCTGCTTCCAATTCAATTTCCTGTCAGACATGCAGCACAATGCAAGTAGAGTAGTGGAGGAAGCTTATTAACTTTCATATTTCATAAATTGCTAAATCAAACTGGTGCCCATTCGCATGCAGACACATACACACAGTTATGACAACCCACAAAACACACAGCAGCGAGGGTGGTATGCAGAGAGGGGCACATGGTTGTTGTGTTAGTGTATAATTGGCCAGGCTCCTCAGCTCTGGGTTGTTCCCAGGGAGCAGGACTAACCACCAGGGAGGGGCTCCTAATTAAGTAGACCTGGGATTATTTTGTAAATATCTGTTTACCACCATGATCTCCTGAGGGTAGGGGGCGTAGAGGGGGGTAGCCAAGAGGAAAACAGTACATTGTAAACATGAACACTATGGGAATGGGTGGCTTAGCAAAATTGAGGTTTTGCCAAGCCTAGGTGATGTGAGCCACATGCCCCAGGGATCAGAGATGAGGCTGAGCACTGCAGTGATATAGAGTAAACTGGTAAGGCAGGAATAACATTGTGTAAGAGTGGTAAACAATTTCAGGAATCAAGCTATGCAATGATGAAAGTATCATCACAATTCAGGTTACAATGACTTCACTTTCTAACTCACTGCACTGAGTAGAGAACTCGGTGTATACAAATGCGTATCCCTTTGATTAGTGTCACCAGTTCAGTATCTGACCAAATGTCTCCCCTGATGTTTCTGAGATCTGACACTGAGTAATGGCCAGAAAAGTGTTTTTGCAGAACATTATGACGCTAAAGTTGACCTTTGGAATATAAATTGTCATCACATCATCATTTTATCCTATTAAGACATTTGTGTGAAATTTACTTAGTGAATTAATTATTGAGTTATGGCCAAAAACATGTTTTGTGAGGTCACGGTAACCCTTTGAGACCTTCAAACACCTCACTGAGATCAGTTCAATGCTGAGTCCAAGTGAACATTTGTGCCAATTTGAAAAAAATGTGATGGAG